TTATAACTGTATAATTGTGTAGACATTAAATTTTGATTAAATTGAAGTTAAGTCACGTTAGACTTTTTAAGAGAGAACTCTCCCACATTTGTCTCTTAATTTATATAAGATTTGTATGCAAAATATTATTTAAAAAGAAGTAAGTTTCGAAACTGATCATTCGGGTCAAGTGGCTCTAGTCACGTTTGTAAAGGTTTATATCTTACGTCGCAGGGCAACAGTTCGAGCCGGTCCTATGACAAAAATGCTAAAAAAAAAGGTAAGTTTCTTTTATTTGAGCCAATATGTCATTGATAATAAAAAATAGTTAATTATTCAATGAATTGTAACTGTATAATTGTGTAGACATTTAAATCGAGCAGTGTCGGCGCTTCTCAAACTAGCTAAAAGGGCTTAAAGAGCATTCTTGACATTTTCTTGTCTAGACCACTTAAACTGCTATCAAATTAAATCATGAGAATTAAGTGATAATAAAGGTCGGTGAAACACATGAAACCATATCACATTAGCAAACATCACATCTTGGCAATATCCAAATTCCTCGGCAACAACTAAAATCACTATTAATTGTACACAGTGACGAAGCCAGGATTTGTACAAGGGATGTTAAATTTGTAGGCATTTAAATCAGACTTAATTACGTCTAAAGTACTACTTCATTCATTCTATTTTAATTTTCTTAATTTAACTTTTACATAAAGTTTAATTTGATAATTTTACATAATAAACAGATACAATTGAATTTTTTTATTCTTTTTAAATATAGTATTTGTTGAATATTTTCACTTAAATAATTTTTTTTTCAATCATTATTTATTTATTATATAAAATCATCTAATTAATTGACAAAAAATTAATGAACTATGACAATCCAAAAAAACTTAAATAAATAACACATAATTATAAAATTATAAACATATATCTAAAATCAAATTTGAGCAGCCTCAATGTGACAACTATAAGACGTTATAAACAAGCACAAGAAGAAACAATTACGCTCCACTATTGGTGATGCCAAAACTCATCCTAACACCAAATTTATCCCACCTATCCAACCATCTTATTAAGAGGCTAAACTAAGCAAAAATATAAACTCAAAAACTAGTAGAATATAGAACAAGTAACATACTCTAAATGGAACCATGATTACCTAAAGTGGTTTCTTAACCTCTTCCCTTAAGAACGTAATTAGAGTACTTTTTTGACAAT